TACCTACATTGTGACCGAAAGGTTTTCGGAGGTTCTCATTTAAAATTCGCGCGCTGTATATTTTTCGATATTTTAAGTATGTAGTTTGGCAGCCACTGTCCTTAATTACTATGCCAAAAATGAGCGCGATTCTTGTCGGACAGTTCGTTTACGGCAGCTGTTGAAACCAGTTCACCTCAGTAGTGCGTTGCGAAAAAAACAATGGAAAAAAATATTGAACAAAGAGTTTGCATCAAATTTTGTTTTTCGAACGAAATTTCGTGTGCAGAATCGTTGCGAATGCTACAAAAGGCTTATGGGGAATCAGTTTTATCGAAAACTCAAGTTTATGAGTGGTACAAAGCCTTTCAGGACTGTCGTACGACCGTCGAAGACATGCCGCGTTCTGGACGACCTTCGACCTCTACCACCGACGAAAACATTGAAAAGGCAAAGGAAATCGTGTTCAAAAATCCTCATGTGAGTGTTAGAGAGATAGCACGAGAGCTAGGCATCGGTCGTGAGATGGCTCGTTTGATTTTGGTGGACAATTTGTGTATGCGACGTGTCAACGCCCGGCTTGTTCCGATTCACCTCAATTTGTTCAACATTATCAACGATTTTAAGGCCAAACATTCAATAAATACCATCGAACAGCCACCGTATTCACCTGATCTTGCACCGTGTGACTTTTTCCTGTTTCCCAACCTCAAATTACCACTCAGAGGAACGCGTTTTGAATCCATAGAAGACGTAAAACAGAATTCGCAGAGGGAACTCAAAGCCATACCGGAAAGCGCCTAAAAAAATGTTTTGATGATTGAAGAAACGTTGGCTTTGTGTATCGCTTCTTAATGGAGCATATTTTGAAGGAGATAAAATAAATATTGATGAAGATTAAGAATTTTGCGTTTTATTTATTTATGACCGGAAACTTTTCGGTCACAATGTATAAAACGTTTTACTTAGTTAATGTTTCGAAAAGATATAAAGCAGATGTTGAAATGTACATGTGGTTTTCCTCACTAACTTTCTGCTGTCCTTTCCTCCTAGTGGAGCATAAGGCCTCACATGTGTCTTTCCAACACTAAAATTTTAATTCTCTGTTTCAGAAGATATTTATATAATCGTGAATTCTAGCATACATATGATGTTGCTACACTGACATGTACATTCTATCTTCCTTAGGATATTTTCATATTAGAATAGTTATCTAATGTTTAAGATTCGCCAACCCAAATATATCTTTCTTATATATCTTTCTTTATCTACTAGTTTCCATATTTCTTCATATATCACCAAAGCCGTTGTTAGAAATTTTATACCTGTAACTAAAAGAGCATACTATGTCCCCACTACACATTTTTAACTTTCTTTTCATTCCCTCAGTTAAAAAAATTCGATATAAATAAGCACATAAAATACTTAAATACACATAAAAGCTTTGAAAAAGTTTGCAGCCTATGACATAATAATCTTATTTATAATTTTTCAAACAAAATAAAAAGTTGGCAATTAATCGTTTTAAAATCATTAAATTTCAATATCAAAGGAACTTTAAAACGCCGAATACTTTTTGCCCAATCCAAAATAAGTTTATCTATATAGAAAAGATTACTAAGGCTTAGGAAAAATGACGAAGATAAATTTCAGTTGTCATACTTTCGAACAGTAAATATTAATTTTTTTAAAAGGTCGTCTTAGATTCATATATTATTAGGAATTACCAATGCATATATTTTTCTAGTCTAATATTACATATTACTTTTTGCATATGTGTACAATACTTAAAATTAGTTCTTAAAAATGATATTTTTTACGAAAATTTAAGCAGGTTTAAGGTGCTTGTCACACTCAGTTAGTTAGTTGAGTACAATACCTAAACTATGAATACTAACAAGATTTTACACAATCCAAGATAAGTCTGGTCATAACAAATAGTTATCGTATTAGTTTACAGACAGAGATATTAATTTTAATTTTAATTTTAGCATGCAGCATATTGCCAAATACAGAAATTAGAAATAAATAAAAAAAAAAGATTAGAATAACATATAACATAAAATACAAATTAAAACATACGAAATAAGGCAATTTTTAAACTATTTAAAAGCCCCTTTTGACCACGCATACCTGAACACCGGTGGAGTGGAGCTTGTGCGACTTGCTTCGATCCGGCGCTGTTGACATGGATTTGCACCTTTAAAGCAATAACTTTTCTTAACTGTCATTTAATCTGAATTCATTCAAATTGGCAACACATGCAAGTACAAACGCCCAATTACTCTGACCGTACCTCAATTTATCAATGCGTTTTAGCCGCGTTTTTACGCTACAATTGCCGCATATTTTTCAACTTTTTGTTTAGTTTTTATTTTTTTATTTTTTTAATTTTATTTTACTTTATTCATTTTCAGATGTTATGTGAAAAGTGAGTGGAAAATTTGTTTAAAACGACATGCACAGGCAATTGTGTAGATTTTTATGAAAGGCCTACCTGCGTCTACGTAACATACGTTACATACGTTGAGTCTGTATTTATTAGAGACTCAAGCTCAATCACCGATAAACTAAGGCTTATGAAAATGCATCAACGTATGTGTTAGATTCAAGGTAGCCATATGCAGATTTCGATCAAAGACACATTGATAATGGCTTAATGTGAACACCAACACACACACTTATGTGCGTTGAATGTCACGCATGAAGTTTAGTGTATTGCACTCAAAAATGCAACTATTAACAGAATTGTGGGTCTTTTGATCGAATGAATGCATTTTCCGATAACTTTTTTATTTGTTTATTTTTATACTTTTTGATATAATATTAGATTGCAATTAATTTATAATATAGCTTAATAACTTTTAAGCATTTTTAAAAATGTTTAAGAATTTTTCTTGTTCTTGGTGCGATAGGAGTAAAACTGAAGGTGGTGCTGTTCACTACTGAAGGTGTTAGTGTTTGAAGATCATGAACAACGCATGCGTGCGAATGTTTAACTAACTTTTTCAAGGTGACATATTGCAAATTCCTAAACGGATGTAGAAAATTCTAAGATTCATTTAAAAAAATTCTTATTTATAAAATATTTTTAAATAAAAAAATACAATAGTGTATTTTTCTTTTTAACTTCTGCACGACCAAATTCTAAAACCATAATTAAATTATTATAATAACTTAACATCAAAGCTTAGCAAATGGAAGTAATAACTCCATCTACTTTCGTCTAATATCATAAAGAAGTGAAGAGCTATCTATTCTGCTCTTGGGCTTAAAGCTAAGAGCTTTACAGTAAAAAGCTAATGTTTTTAGCAGCAGTGCCATTCTAAATCAATTGCATTTCTATTTAATAAATATTAATTACAGTATTAAAATTAGGATTAACTGCCAATTTTCCGTCTTGAGATATCTTATTGTCGATTTATCACTTATTATAAAGTAAGAAAGGGATCTGAAAGTGGACATAAAATAGGTACGAAATATGTCGCATATTTAACTATGAATAATGTCTACCTTTTTATACTGACGACTCTAGTAAAGGTAATGAAATAAATAGAGTACTTATCTGTGAAGGTTTAGATATAACATTACTAGCATTACCTAACAGTTTTAGGTTACTGATCATTGTAGTGTCTTCCAAATGCAAATTATTGTCATTTAATGTGTAACATATTTAATAGCAGTATATTATTCTAAACAATTATTAACAATATTTATTCTATTGGGCTTTTTGGGTGTGTTTGAATTCACCCCAAATAAAATCTATGACGGATATTACATTCCGATATCGTAAATACTTGATAGATAAATGACACATTCAGAAAAAATACTCTAGGAATACGTTCGGAATATCTTCAAAACAAAAACATAATGCTCAGATTTAGCAAACAAATGTAGAAATTATACTACAAAAAAATTATACAAAATAAGAAATATCGACGATATGCAAACCCTGTCCGCAACTTAGCGTCTCTTCAGTAAGAGAAAATTGAATGGTTTTATTAAAATGCTCCATAAAGGTGTCAATCTAATGGAGGGTTTGCAAATAGATCATTGTCAGTTAAGATACCATGCTAAAAGCGTGACTATTTCCTCTCGGCTCTCGTTGTAGTTGTATAATTAGTTCGTGCCTGATATATGTTCAGTCATTGTCCAGTTGTTGCTGAAATATCTGTTTAAGTTATCTGTTCAATGTAGCTATGTGATTATTTCGCGATAAATGGTTAGTTAAAATATCTATAGACAAAATTTAAATATGTGGTGCCTAGTGCTGTACCCATATCAAAATTTATTTATTGGATAACAATTAGGAATTTTTGTTATTAAAAATACTTATGAGAAATTCATATGTTCATTATTCATTATGTGTCGGATATATGATCTTGGTGATTAGTATCCATAATACAAATAGACTGAAAAATTCTAATTAAATTTCTGAAATGTTCGTATTTTATATAATACTTTGAATAAAGAATTAACTATGACAATAGCTATATTGATTATGAAAAACAAACCCTATATTGTTATAATATTTCTCTGGAAATAAACTTGTAATTGTATATTTTGCCATTATTTTACAATTATTTAATAAATCTACCTAAAAATTTTTCAATTACTTTGAAGTCCTTCGATTATATTTCAATAATTTTATGACTTAAAAGGTTAATAGAAATATCTAATAAAAAATCTTTAGTAATTTTTTTAATATTAATAAAATATTAATTAGTGTGAATTAAATATTATTTTTACAAAATAACTATAAAAATAAATAAAACTCATGCTTGATGCATTGACTTCAATTTTATTTAAGAGTTAAATACATTCACTTGTAATTACTGACTAAAGATACAAGTTTAACGTAAAAATAAAATACACTTAATCAACCGCAATCTGGGTACAGTGCAACTTAGTATATACTATATATACTCACTCGTACACTTAAGAAAAAGAATATATGGGAGAGAAGTGTATGAATCTGAATTGCTTATGTGCACTTTAAAAATGCGTGTCAAAATAAAAATTATAAAATATAAAAAAGTACAATACAAAACAAAGGTCATCTGATGTCAGTAAACCCAGTCAAATCTTATAACGTCATTTACAAAATTTGGCAACGTACACGGGGGCCACGTAACAAGTACCTTAAATGTATCTACAGTCAGGTAAACAGGTATCTCAACGCGTTGAAGTTTTTTTCTTTGCGATTTATTTGTGGCAAGTGCTGAAAGCAGCTTTTCAATCTTTTTTCTTTTTACTTTATGGAACCGATCCCATTCAGACTCATTACCTGTGTTCACTACAAATTTAAGGTTATACTTTTCATTTTAGAAGGAAGCATGAACCTACATACAAGTTATTAAATAGTTTTGTTTATTTAACAATGTTTACAGGTTGTTTGTACTGAAATCATGATATATATAGATCAATTAACTGTGATATCTGTGATATCGTCAGTGATTTCCTTACTGCAGTTAGATCTCAACACATTCAGTAAAATACAATCTACATTAGTTGAATATTGGAGACAGAATTGAAACGGGACGTGGCGCTAAGCGACAAAGATGCTCTAAAAATCTACGCTTTTTTAAAGCTATTGTCAAAATAAAAATATCTATCATGTTAGCCAATGTTTGGTAAAGCCAAGTCCATAAGAGGAATATAATACTCCATTTATAAAGTATATAAGAATAAGAAGTTGTTTATTCCCCTTCTTCTACTTCTTCTTGTTACTTCTGATTTTATTCTTACAAATATAGTAATACATATTTTAGGCATACTAAATCTAAATTGTAAGAGTCCAGAATACACAGTAGAAAAAATAAAGAGCAGGATTCAACCATATATATTTTATAGTTTATTTGAATATATCATTTTTAATAAAATATAATATATCCGATTTTTTTTGCCCGAAGAATATTACTAGAAAATGATTATATTTGAGAGTTGGTTTATTACTATCTCTTTGTTTCTCAAATCATCTTATTAGTAATACCATAATAGTAGTAATACTAATAAAGAATACAATTGGGTATATGAATTCGACAATTTACTGATTGTAGATATGAATCTTTTCCGGAACCCTTTCAAATTTACTTTGAATGGAAAAAAACGGATATAAAAACTAACGTTTAACGTTTTTATTCAGTTAATAATATATTTGAATATATTTGTTGCATAACATATCATCATCTCTAAGTTGTAGAATACTTCGAAGCCGAAAGGACTTAAAGACGAAGGAGTATCTTACCTGTTATCTAATAATATCCACTATATAAGTATACAATATGATATATAAATAAAATATTTATGCAATTATTGTTATATACCATATATTACACTGATAAGGTTAAAGGTTAAATACAGAATGCGAAAATTTAGTATAATATATATTGCTTTTAAAAAATAACTTCTCATTCCATTTGATTTCATTTCCATGTAGAGGCTCTACGAAGTCGTTTTGGTTGGAGTAAAATTACACCTTAAGTTTCTTTATATAAATTTTATTTATATTTTTTTTTTTGGTGAAGTTGTTATAGCATACTGTTTATTATTTGCCTAAGGGGTCCATAAATTCAAGGTTTACATCAAATCAGATACATAATAAACATATCTTTAAAGTAATGTAAATTGTAGCACGAGACTGCTATTATCCGTTCTAGTGCACAGAAGAGCAAAGGAAATAATACGCTTTTCGACAACTAGCACCAAACAGCTAGTCAGGTTTTACAGGTGACTGGGACAGAAGCATAAGAAGAACATAGTATGAATAAATTTAAAGTGGAACGACAACAGATGTCCTTCACGAGGCCAAAATACTAAAACTGATTCTATGCGAACACTACTAAACACTAAATTCTGAATTTTGTTGCTTTACCTGTTGATGGTCTGTTCTCATGACCCAGTTTCGTATTCCATGAAATGCCACAGACTTAAAACTGCTCTTTCTACATACATCGAACTACAAAAAATAAGGAAGACATTTATATATTATATTTATTTTCGTGGAATTGTTCAACTTTCAATGTCAGCAATCAATGCAAGGACATCTACGAGAACATAAAAGCGGCGAGTTTAGTAAAAGTTTTGCGTATATTGATTATGAAGTCTTCTTAATAAAGAAAATAAGTTCTTAATCAAGGTTCCAAAAAAGAGCTGTTGGTAACGCAAAATTAAAAATTGATTATAAAAACGATTAATCAAAAGGGTAATATATAAAAATTGAAATATATTTTGAGTATATTTTATACTATTTGAGAAGTAACCTTGTTTGTTGGCTCATGTTTTGTATGTATAAACACTTTTTCAGCTAATAAGTAAAATTCTAAAAAAATGTCTGTAATCATGCATAGATACGCAAACTAAAACTGTCGGGCCTAACGAATGTTGATCGTGATTTCATTGAGTTTATAAAAAAAACCACTTAAGTTTAATTGCTCATACACTTTACAAGTACTAATATGGTTATAAATTTATAAAAA